ACCGGCCCACACATCCACCCACCTACTAATGGTACTACTGCAACTTCTTTGTGTACTTGACTCATCTATTCGTGTTCTGAGCAAAAAAACAATACTTAGTCATAATATAGTGGGTGTATTAGTAGTGAGTACTCAGTAGTAGGCAGCTTTATTCTGAAAAAAAAACTACCACTGGGTTTTTAACTTCATTCGAAAATCAATCAAACAGATGAATAAGTATTTGAGATTGAAAAATTTCTATTCGAATTTTAGTTTTAATAATATTTATTGTAAAAAATATTTCTTCAAAACGTTTTATTATAGTTTTACACATCAAATATATGTGAAACATAGAAAACTATGGTAACCAATGTTTGTGTAAACAGTTTTTCACATGTTTGTGTCAAGTTTTTTCAAGAGTACGTCTCGCATCATTCAATAAATGATTGTGTTGAGCCATTTATTCAGACATTGTGGTAGATGTGAGCTTAACAATTCTGTGGTAGTAGGTATTCGTTCTCGAAAGTTTTATGATATTGTAAAGAATGTGTTAAGCTTGACTCTAGGTATGCTTAAGACTATTACGGGTTCAACTTAGTCAAATAACGAGAACAAAACAATGAACCAGTGTCCAGGTAGGCTATTGTGATCCTATTGTCCCAATGGTATCATAACGAAGTCTTGATATAGTGTAGAAGTGTAGTGAACGAAAATTACAGAGTTACTCAGTAAAATCGGAAAGCCATATCGTAAGTCGTTAATTTGCAAAATATCAGTTCATTATATCGAAATGGACTGTTCCTGTTGCAAACAACATCAATCCATTGTCACTCACTATTCATGCGTTTCATACAAATTCCATTGTGTTCCCGCTCTTTTTACTTTCTTGATCTTCCCCCATCTTCTGCTGCCAGACATTATGTTGACACTCACGTCATATACTACTTATAAGTAGCTCGCACCACAGAAGGTGTATTCTACAAACATCCAGCAAGCATACACAATCAATCCAAGCACTCAAATCGCGTTTATTTATACTCTATCGAGATGTCCTTGGGACAGTCACAAAAATAGCACACTAAAATGACACAGTAACCACCAATCACAGCCAAGGATTTTCGTGGTGGGAAATGTGATCTCAAGGTCAACTGATCGGTCTATGAAACAAATCCGAAATAAAGATATTTATCAAGCGAGTTCTGAGGATCTAACGTCCCCAACACACACAGATCACAAAACTATAGGCACACGAAGAGAAAATGATGTGCAAGTGCCGAAGAGCAAACAAGCGAGAGAGTCTGACTATGAACATAACGCAGCCCTCATGAATTGGTGGTTAGCCTCGACTTGGAATACAACCCACCTACAACATACTATCTAAGAAGACTATATCAATGTCACTTATAAGAATTATGCTCCATATATGTTGAGCTATTTACAGTCTAGTAAATAGAACTTATATTTTAGAATATTTTTTATTATTGACAAACTTTTAGTTAGAAAATATAAATAGAAACTAAGGTTAGTACTGTCTGTCTAGCCAGTTGTTTAGTTTGAGCTTTGAACACTCGAAACGTTTTAGAAATTGAACACATATTGTGACCTCAAGGCTTCACATAGTGAGCATACCACTACTCTAAGACAGACTTATAGTTAGTTGATTAAGAAAAAATATAGTTAAAAGAATGATTAAAATTAGAGTTATGTTTTTAAAAGTCATTATAAACGAATTATTAAACAATTATTGATTAAAAGTAGTCTAAAAGCTAACTAAATCTTGGTTAGCTAACAAGCCTGCTGCACATGCACACCGCTGCACACAAGGATTCTCACTATAGCCGTTTTAGTGATCACCCCTGCCCCATACAGGAACGTACATGCTGACTAGTTTGGCCTACAGACAAGTTGGACGTCCAAACAGCAGGCACACGAACAGTGGCCCTCGTTCGGGCACTTATGAATCAACTCAATCCCTCCTACCATTCCACTACTCACAATCCCCAATCGGTAAGGGTGGGAAGGTGGGCTTACCCAGCCGGACCTGGCGCTCCGAATGGATTACTCAGCCACCCAGCAGTGCACGAACCATCAGCCATTCCAACCGCCTGGCCTCCAACTGCCTTGCGCTGATACAATAGATCGGAGCCCCCAAACCCCACATGAAGCTAAAGATCAAGTTTGTCTCACAAGGTCTACCAGAATGTGCAACCTCCAATGGGGTCGATGTCATGAACTCGATCAAGCGTAAGCACTCAACCAAGCAGGGTTAATCCCACTACATAAGTGAGCAGACATCATTTGCGTGCAAATACCCTTTCAGCACAGGATCACATAATCCAACTGAAGACCCTTGTTTAAAGGGCCTCAACGCCAGTTGACACACTATACCGAGATGCAGAGTGTTTGGGACATTTACATATGGTCGGCGTCAATAGTCCAGGATCTTTACGGCTGCTTCCCCAAACAAATCACCTTCGAAAATGTGGAAGGCTACATCCTTTTCAAGGTATTAACCGGGCGTTTGAGGTGGTTACTTCGTCCCCATGGAAGGGTGTAGGTCCGGCTGACCTTGTGGGATAAACTCGATCTTTAGCTTCATGTGGGGTCTGAGGGCTCCGATCGATTGTATCAGCACTAGGCAGTTGGAGGCCAGACGGTTGAAATGGCTGCTGATTAGTGCACTGCTGAATGGCTCGGTAATCCGTCCGGGGCGCCATGTCTAGCTGGAAAGCTCGCCTTCCCGCCCTAACCGATTGGGGATTGCTGGTAGTGGATTGGTTGGAGGGATCTTGTTGGTTCATAAGTGCTCGAACGGGGGCCACTGCTCATGCGCATTCTTTTTTGGACGTCCACTTGTCAACAGACCAATCTAGACAACATGTATGTCCCCGTATGGGGCAGGGGTGATCTCAATATTGGCTGTTGTGAGAATCGTTGTGTTGCTTAAAATGCAGCGGCGTGCATGTGCAGCAGGCATGATGGTTAACCAAGAATATATAACTAAAAGCTAACAAATTAAAATGTTACTTACAGTTACTTACGCCTGTTACTTCTAATGGAGTATAGGCAGCCGACAAACGAAATGTTTTTCTGGTTAGCGTTTTTTTAGTGAGTTGGATTTCTACGGGATAGAGTCGATAACCCCATACTCAATCCTTTTCTTCTATCTAAGCTTGAGACTGACAATAACCCTACAATTGCTCCAGGTAGAGTTTCACTAAAAGGTAACTACAAAAATCTCATATTTCCAATAATCTGAACTCTTTCTATTAGTTTACGCTTTTAAGAACTTACATAATTGTGTAACATACGTGTTTACTATAAGTTGAACTCAATTTGAGATTTTCAGTTTTCCAGTTCGATCATGCTTGAGTACTAAAAGGTATTCCATATTGCAGTGGGAAAACAGATGTTTAATTCGCTCTGGTTTTTAATAGTTATCCTGAATAAGGTTAATTGTTGACAAATCTGACCAATAAATCATAACAATCTTTATTGTAATAATTTCCAAATTGTTCAAAATTCAAGACGATCCATATGTGTTTACGTGTAGGTGTGTGTGTGTGTTTGTATCTGTGTTCTAATGGGTTTAGAAAATTGAAATAAACAGTGTGACCTACTTTTTAAATCATCACGAAAACGTTAAAATTTTCAAAAACATTTTATTCACTACATAATTCTACTGAATATTTATTGTTAAAATCAAAACAAACTCATTCAAAGTGAGTTAGACATTTACATCGTTAGTTACTTAGTCTAGTGATCCAGAGGCTAGACGTCTGAACGCTAGGTCTGTATGTCCTGGATTTGATTCCCGCTTGTGAGGTCGTGAATGCATACTGTGGTGTGTGAGATTCGATAGCGGGTTCACCATTTATGTGGTGTGCAATGTATTACTAGTTTCGTGGCGGTTGATATCCAACGTGCTCTTATACTTCGTAATTCTCTAGTCTAGGCAATCGTCACCAAATAGTGCCTGACGGTTATAAATCAGAAGGCGAACACGCGGGTTGGAATACGTTTATTTTTGCACACCACAATACTACTGATGATTCCTATAGTAAGACGAAATGGCCGTCCAGTGTTCGTAAGTGTTCTAATGCTGGTTTTAAAATTGATCCATTCGTGATTTTAATAAAAGTACAAACGTGACTAACCAATCATCATAAGCGTTGTCCTACATATGAGAAGAGAAGCCATCTGCCAGTACTGAATAGCGGTTTTATCCTCAACCGTTAATCAATATCACGTGATATATAAAATAAACCACCAATCAGAATTAAGTTAACACCAGAAACTGTGTGAGTCAGCTGTAAATTCTTATTGGTCCATAACTCGATATAGGTTCTTTCTCTCTATTTTGCCTCTTCGTTCAGAAGTTTAAAACCAGCCTCCACAAAATTTGTGATATTTCAGGCAGACACAAAATATATCAAACCATATCACAGCATAAAATGAGAAAATACATCTTTTATACATGATTAAGCCAAAAGTGACTGTCAATAGTTACTGAATGGATTATACAGTTAGGTCATACATAGCACTAATCTATAAATCAGTCCTGGAAGTGACCATTCCTTGAATCTTCTTCGTGATAATGCAAATTGTGTAATACTTCTTCTACTTACTAATAAGTCTCTTATCATCAATTCGCACGTTCTTATTTGGTTTAAAACTAGACAGAATTTTCTCAGACATCTTGGATAAAACAATCTAAGAATATTGCCTCACACCTAATTGGTGTGAATGTTTTGAAATCAGGATAAAGACTTCAGTGTAGTTAGGGCCTTGATCGCCATTCTTATTAAGCAAAAGTCTTTGACTTCACAGCCATAGGCTAATTCAACCTGATTGATTCAAATAAGCCAATAGAATCCATTCCAAATTTGTGCTTCATTATGATTGGCTGAACAAAATGTAGCATTGATAATTCTATCTCCTGATTGGTTTGTACTATGTGAAAGTAACATGATTAACAAAATAAATTAAGTTTTCATAAATTTTCACTAAGTAGATTGATTCTCTCTTTCGAGACAATACACACACAAAAAAAAACGCGAGAATGCAATTACAACCACCGGCTTATGAAAGCCTTGCTGCTACTGACACCAATCTAATTACTAATGATAATTGTATTGAAGACGGAATGATTCAACCCGTGAGACGGCGACCATTTAGTAAATCCCTACGTAATCGATTAAATCATATTGTCAGTATGTATATACCTGGAAATAATCCTTTGGAGAATCGATTTGTCAATATTGATGAGACAACCGACCATACAGGATTATTATCTTCAAATGAAAGTAAATTAGGGCTATCATCATCTATGAAAGATAATAATGACTTCTTATTATATGAGATTAAATTAATTTATCCAGGTAATCAATTAATCAAAGGTATTCTTCAATGTGCTAATCTTCTATCAGATAAACTACTAGAACTTGATGATAAATCATTACCAAAAATTACATGTCTTGCTGCTGATCATCAATTAATTTATCTGGGCTTAGAAAATCTTCCATATATATTTCTAATCTCTACTAAATTAAATGCTGAGTGTAATAATCAAAATGTTCAGAAATTTGAAAACACTCATTACAAAGGTTGTATACATCTGTTAGCACCTGGAATTGGTAATATTCTACCATATGAATTATGTATTCATTCTATCATCAAAGGAGATAATCATACTTTAATTTATATTGTTGGTACTATTATACAAATTGAACATGATGAGAAGAAATGGATTTTAGCAAAATTTGATTCCACCGGTCAACTAATTGCACGTAGTCGTACTTATACATATCAACGTTATTCTGGTTTATCCGTCGATACTAATGATAATAATTTATTACTCTCTTGTCCTTCAATTAATGAAACTAAACGATTGGATAATCATGTATCACCAGGACAAATATGTAAACTAACACCAGGTTTTGAACGTCGTATATTCTCTATTACTATGGGTAAAGAATCAGTTTTTTATAAACCTAATTATGTAACACAAGAAACAGCTGGTCATTGTTGTTGGGCATCTGTTGAACGTGTAGAATATGATTATTCAACAGAAAATACAGAAAATATTCATCAACCAACAAGACGACTACTAGCATTTCCTGGACGTCAACCTACTGGGGGTGCATTGAAACAAAGTGCACGTGAATGGTTACATGCATATTCATGGGATTTTGCTGATTTAAAACCAGGTAGAATAAGTGCTTATGATGCGGAGCGTTTATTAGTGATTAACACTGAGGATGGAACACTTTCTTATATTACATGGATAAAGAATGATGAAAAACCAAATCTACATCGGATTACTCGTCCATCATCGGAACCGATTCGTCTACTGTATTCCACATATAATTCAAAATGTTCTCCTAGTGAATTGAATAAAAATATTGCATATTTTGTTGCTGGTTCAAGTATATACTCGTTTGCATTTACTCAGAATTCACCTCCTACTCCTCCGACTACTACTACTACTACTACTACTACTACTACTACTACTACTACTACACTCATTGATAATAATACTAGTAATAATAATAATAATAATAATAAAAATGACAGCAACAATCACACAGGTAGTCATGTTAGTCATGCATAAATCATCCGCTTTTATACACCACTGTTTACTATCTCTCATTTTAACAACTCATATATACATATATCATTTGTGCAAATTGAATTACTTATCAAATGATGTGTATAGTTTTACTAATAATAATCAATAAAAATGACAATGGATCTAATTGAAAATTTATACAATTCTAACAAACAATATTCATGTATGTTTTTTTTTCTTCATTGATCATTGAACTGGTTGAGTTGATCGATCGATCAATGTTCAATTCCAATATTTGACTATTCGATGATTAATGATGACTCTAGTTGAAATATAATATTATTACCTGTTTGTTTGCATTGTTACAAGTAATTTGTGCATTGTTTTAAACATCAATTTGTGTTTTTTTTAAACGGTTCAATGGTTCAATGTTTCAATATTCATTGATTTGTTAACATAGTTATTGAGAAAAAAAGAAGGAAGCTATTGTTTTTTTTTTGATTCTATGTATGTAACAAGATAACATTTGGACAGTTATATGGGATTTATTGTGATGTGATGTGATGTGATTTAGCATCAAAGGAATCGTAATGTTATCACTTTAAACAAACAAAAAATGCAACATTGAACAGTGAACGCCATGAACTTTAAAACCAAAATGGATTTTGTTTTAAATTTTCTCTTTTTTTTAATTATGAAACTAGAACAACATTTACCTAAATATTGGACATAAAAATAGGCAGGAGAATAATGGCGTTAATAATAATAGTAATAATTGGACATTGAATGAAGAGATTATTTATTTTCTGTACAAGTTCTTCTTTTTTTTGTTTGTTTGTTTTTCTTTCCAATTTGTGTTGATGTCATTGATAATATTTGTATAAAGTAAAAAAGTAATTGTATTTGTTTTCTGATTCAGTTGGTCCGTAAGTCAGTCAGTAAGTAACAACGTAGAAGTTCGTATGTCCATTGGTTCAAGTTGTCATAATACACTAGCACAGAGATGCAATAGTTGGTTTGAATTCCATAGTGGTACATGTAGTTAGAGTATTAGTGGTAATGAAGAAGATTAGGGTTTGAAGATATTATTCAAGGAATAAGATTAGAATTAAGGAGAATACAGAGAATGGATGCACCTGTGTCAACGCAAACAGTTTTGAGTCATGTCGTTCAAGGTCTCCAACCACCGGTTACTATTGTCCCGTGGATCCTAAACAGGTAGTCTACACGTACTGACATATCTCAGTCCATTTGTCAGTGATATCATGGATTTGTGTTATGGTTTGGTTTGGCCACCCCTAGCTTTCTTCCAACCTATTACTATACCGCAAAACATAGCTCGTTGAGGCAGTCGGTTTTTGGGCATTCATAACACATGTCCCAACCATCTCAACTGATGAAGTTTTAATACTTCATTTGTTGATCTGCCATCCTTACCTAGTACCCGTTTCCTTACTATAGCATTGCTTACTCGGTTGTCCCAGGATATACGAGCAGTGCTTCGAAGACACCTGTGATCAAACATTACGAATATCCTCGCTTCTTATTGTTCATGTTTCACACTCACAGAGTAGGATGGAGCGAATTACTACTGCGCAGTATTTTCGTACTTTCGTTGGCGGACGGATATCTCGCCTACTTCATAAGTGACGCAATTTGTTGAGCCCTCTATATCAATGGTGAGATTTCGTCAGTCATTGATGAGAATCCCCAAATAAGTGAAGCGATCTACTTACTCAACTACTCCACTCCCTTTCAATAGTTTAGGTGGTGGAGAAAAATTGTAGCTCAGGTGGATGATTGTGGTGGTGTTTCGTTCTCTGAGCTGGTTGTTTTGGGTGTGGAGCTTTCATTGTTCTTCTACTGAACAACATCATCAGCACAAACTTCAGATAGAAGTGAAGCCTTCGAATTTCTCCACGTTTGACCTCCTTCCCCTATACTGGATAGGGGAAGGACAAAGAACACTAGAGAATTTTTAGAGGCTTGGCACTCAGGTCAATCAGCAATCGATAAACACATCGACATTGACCCAATTTATCAACCAATCAGAAAACTCATAGGTGACATTGGATCAAGAAACAGATCAAAAGGGGGATGCAATCAAAACAAAGGTGTAAACAACGACAGGTTAAAGGTCAACAGCAACCAATCAAGACCGAGGTTAGCAGAACAAGCTACAGGTCAAACGTGGAGAAATTCGAAGGCTTCACTTCTATCTGAAGTTAGTGCTGATGATGTTGTTCAGAAGAACAATGAAAGATCCACAACCAAAACAACCAGCTCAGAGAACAAAACACCACCACAATTAGTTTAGATACTGGTGCAACCAAATCTTGAAGCAACATTTTGAACTTCAAGAGGAAGAAACACATCCCGAACATGCTTGCATTGTTGCTTAGGGTAGTCTGAAGACTCTGCATTTTTATCAGTGTCTTCACCAAGTAGAACTATGTCATCGGCATATTCTAAGTCAATAGGCGAGTCTCCCGTTAGAAGGTCATTTCCTGAAAAGTCAGATAACGAAAGTGTCGTATCTAAAAGCATGTTAATGACAAAGCTAAACAAGACTGGCTAAAGTGAACAACCCTGACAGAAACCACTTGAAGTAATGAGTTCCGATGACAGTTCTCCATAAACCAGTAGTATTCAAGTTGAGAGCTTCTTTAAGGTTGATGTATTTTTCTGATTGCACACAACTATTTATCATAAACATTATAGTTCTCGATATGGATATAAAATCCAACGTATTTCACTTTGCACTTTGAAAAATTGTCTACTAGTGTAACACATGTAATCAACAGTCACTGAAGGGCGGATAAGATCTAAAATCACAACACTCAAGTTTAGCTGATCACTTCATACCAAGAGAGAACACGAAGCGGTAGCCATGGCACTCTTTTATTTGAAAATTAAATAATGCGGGTTTTTTTTAACAGAAAAGAGATTGCTTGTTTATCAAAGTCTTATGAATCATCCTGTAAGTTTAGAGTACGTAGGGCTTGTTCTTCAGCTTCCAAAGTGTTTATGTTTCATCGCTCTGCAATAGAAAGAAAACAGAACAGTTTAGCAACACCATACATAGTGATTTTGATTCTGTTACACTAGGATTATTGATTTCATGAGAATTTAAAGTGTTCATGTATATTCTTATGTTTACACACAAAATGGAATACTGAAAATTTCAGTCGCTTGTTAAAAGTAATACTAGTTGTCTATATTTGCAACTTTATTGAGCTTGGGAATGACCATGACAGTCAATCATTATCATTGGTAATGACTTATTTCTAATAGGTTTGAATTCTACAAATCACCATGATATGTTATTGGAACTAAAGAGTTCATCTTAAACACAATCATTAGTACACATTTAGCTGTTCAGACATTCTTCCGTTAACAACAATATTATCTGTATATATCAGGTTAGATAAGATCACAAAAACACATTTTTTTAATCATTATTTTCTACCAATTTTCAGTTATATGAAGATCACTATAGTTAGTGACTGATATCAACTAAAGAATAACTGAAAATCTAATTACGCTGGACAAATGTTTCATCCTTAGCTGATGAATCCAATACCAAGACGACACGGCCGTCTTTCATTGCTTCCAGGTTTCTAATAGTGTGGTCTAACAATGATTCACTCACGATGTCAGCGTGAAACAACGATCTCCATAATACTATAATGCAAAATATGTTTTTATTAGTCAACTGATCAGAAGTAGCCCGGCCGGAAGACCCATTTGATGTCTTGTAGGACAAATACATATGATTGGTCAAGAAATGGTATCATTTTTTAAGGAAACCAAATAGATGTTCTCCTCTACACTTGCTTTCTCACTGAACAGACCCTTTTGGCTGGTCATTGTGTATTGATCAACCATCTTTACCTAGTACCCGTTTCCTAACAACAGCATTATCTACTTGGTTGTCCCAAGATATACGAGTAGTGTTTCGAGGATAACTATAGTCGAAAACCAGTAACCTACCAATATCCTCTAATCTTACTAGCTATGTTGTGTATCCATATAGTAGGACGGAGCGAACTACTGAGCAGTACTTTCGTCCTTTCGTTAGCGGATGAATATCTCGCATACGCCATAAGTGACGCTAGTTGGCAAGAGCCAATCGAGCCTTCTGTATCCATGCTGAGATTTCGTCAGTTAACAGGTCATCAGCACTGATGAGACTCCCGAGATAAGTCAAGCGGTCCACACGCTCAACTACTCCACTCCCTATCACTAGTTTAGTTACTGGTGTAACCCAATCCTGAAGCAACATTTTAAACTTCAAGAGGAAGAAACACATCCCGAACATGATTGCATTGTTGCTTAAGGTAGTCTGAAGACTCTGCATCTTTTTATTAGTCAACTGATCAGAAGTAGCCCGGCCGGAAGACCCATTTGATGTCTTGTAGGACAAATACATATGATTGGTCAAGAAATAGCAACCTTTTCTAAGGAGGTGAAATATATTTATATGTATAACCAAATAGATGTTCGCTTCTACTATTGCTTTCTCATTCAACAGCCCCTTTTTTCGCTGGTCACTGTATATTCTGATCAGATCTCAGACACTGCACATCATGACATACATTACTCATGATTTCTACATAGAATAAAATCGACAACTCTTTGATTATTATCATTGTTTTCACTTTTAGAACATGAAACAAGTGTTTTATACTACTTTAATATTTTTTTCCACAATGCCTATGTTATTGGATCTGATTACGAGATCGAAATCAGGGATATTACCCCTAACTCAGGTCTCATATGGTCGAAAAATGAAACTTTCGGAAACGAGAAGAAACAGTCATTGCCCAACATGAGACAAAGGGTAATATAAGAGTGTTTGGGCCTATTTGCATTAAACTGGGCTGCCTCCTCTTCTACTATCCTGCGCCATATATGTGTACACCATATGCTATGCTGCTGCTATATAGAGCCGAAGGTCTCTTATGAGACTAGAGGTTCTCTGTGATGAACATTGTGGATGGCTTGGCATTGCTTTGGCAAGCATTGTTAACAGTCCATAT